ACTATGGTAAGCACAGGAGGCTTGGATTCACCCATTACAGTAAAGAGAGTTGGGAATAAAGCTGCTATTTTTCTTCACACACTCCTACTGGGTTGTCTATATCCTGAATCAGTCAATAACAATAAGGAAAGAATCCTTTAAAACAGTAATTCCCAAACTTTGGTAATCCAGATGTTTTGGACTTCAGCTCCCACAATTCCTGACAATTGGCCAATCTGGCTAAATCTTCTGGGAGTTGAAGTCCAAAAACATCTGGAGGACCAAAATTTGGGAACCATTGCTTTAAAAAGAGGTCTAGGAATATCATAAACCAGTTCTCCTTAGCCACTTAAGATGGCTCTCCTTAGCATTTCCCTGGAGATACAAGAACACAGTTCTAAAAATTTGTTTAGTTTTGCTGGCAAAGGTCATCTGCTCATGCCTGTGTGCCAGGCAGACATCCATCTTGTAATATGTCACCATGGAGATAAATCACAAGCCCAACCTCTTTGATTGCTGGACATCATCAGCAATCTGGATGGTCAGTGACAACCACAAAACCACAGAGAAATGAGCTGGGCTCCATCTTCTATATTTTGTTCCTAAATAGTCTTAAGAATGGGGACATTCTGAACAGAATTTGAAAAAGTTACCTTTTCAACATTACACCTGGAATGAGCACATCTCATTTTCCCATCATTAACCAGCCTCTTAGGGGTTATTCACATGATGAAAATAATCCAGGATGAATTTGGGATGAAACTCTGTTGTTCACACACATCCCAAATGCATTTGATTAAGTTGGGGGAGCTTACCCCAGGATAATCAATATCAGGCTTTTTCCCAAGTTTTTCCAAAAGATTTACATCATTGGCTGTGTGAACAACGATGTGAATAGACCTGAATAGACTCAGGACAAAACTCTCCATGCCTTTAATGGGTTTTGAATGCATTTGCATCATCGACAGCCTATGTGGTCAAGAAAGTGCTGCCCCTTCCCCAGTGGAACAGCCACCACTGGAGAGAAAAGAAGAAAGAGAGTGGAATGGTTGGGAGAAAAAAGGATGCTGACCCTTTTTCTGTCTGGCTGAGGGGTGCTGGTGGGTGGGGGGACAAGGGAAGAGCGCCTGCACATGTGAGCAACCAAACTCGCAGAGATGCAGAATGAGGCAGTTCCTGGGAAGATGCAGTTCTATGGTGTGAATAACAAACCTGGAATGTGTGAGTGAGTTTATTTGTATCATTCCTGTAAAAAAAAAGTGAATGAGGCCTTTATTATTATATATATTTATTCTTAATTATATATATATATATGATCCAGAAGTATTAAAAACCACTACTTTGGGCCATTTTGATATGTGTATGAGAGATGTGGGAAGTGGCCATTAAATCAGTTTTAGGTTAGAGGGCTACACAGCCCCCCAGGAGACTTTGGGTAGCCACATCATCATACTGCACACTGCCTAGGGTTGCCAGAGTGAAAACTAGAGAGGTTTCCTGTACTGTCATGAATAAAAAGATGACCAAGGGTGAAAGGGGAGGGAGGAGGGAAAAACTGGGACATTTTTAAAGCAGCTGAAAAAGTGGGAGGGAAGAGGATTAATTGGAGCCATGGCTGATAAATTGTGTTAGGAAAGATCTAATTAGGGGAATTTATAATTAACTCAGATATGCAAGAGTGGGGCCCTAACAACACTCTACAGGACCGGGTACCATTATATATACCAGAAGACTAAGGAAACCCGCAATGGATGACACTGAGGCAGGCTTCTCCAATTAAAGTCTAAATATTTATTATGAGGGGAAAACTGCACACACACAAAATATCACACACACACACACACTGCACACTTAGGAATAAAGGAAGCTGATCGAGGAAGTTGTTTGATCATCTAGGGCTTCTAAGGTATTAGATTTCACACTGTTTTTATACTATGGTTGTTGATTTTATTCTTGTTATGTTTTTATATATTGTATCTTTGTACATTGTTATACATTATACTGTTGTACTCCCACGTCGATCCGTAGGGAGAGGCAGGAAAATATAAATAAACTATTATTATTATTATTATTAAAGGAGTGAAAGCGGGGATAGCTTGAGCTACTCACTTCTGAAAGCTTCTCAGGGATCCGCTGTGGATGTTGATGGTAATAATGATGAAACACAGCCGCCGAAATGGAGGGGGGAGGATGGCTGAGGGAGCTATGATCAGAGTTCAAACTGATGTGGAGTCAGCATGCACTCTCAGGATAGCACACAGAGCCTAGAAATCCAAGGGTTCTTAGAGGAAATTTCTGCCCTCTGGCTATAAGCTTAATGGCTTAGCCTGAGTTTGAACAAAGGTGTTG